AATTGCAATGAATATGGTCACCTTAGTAATAGTTGTTCTAAGCCTAAGAAAATTCAGCAAAAAGATCATGCTAATATGGCTAGTGAATCAAACAACTTTGGTGATGTGTTAATGATCAAAGATTATGCTTATTTGAACTCTGTGCTATCGGATTATCTGTGTGAATCTGATTGGCTAGTTGATTCTGGTTGCACCTTTCATATGTCACCATTTAAAAACCTTTTTTCAAACTATCAAGAGATTGATAATGGTATTGTGTCCATGGCTAATGAAAAGAAATGCAAAGTTATTGGAATTGGAGATATGTGTCTTAAATTTGACTCTGGATCTATTGTGAACTTAAAAAATGTTAGACATGTTCCTGATTTGTCCTATAATTTGCTTTCTTGTGCATCTCTTGAAAATGAGGGTTTTGAGGGAAAATGGGGAAAAGGTGTTATGAAAATCATGAAGGGTTCAATTATTGTTTTCAAAGCTGAAAAGAAAAATAATTTGTATGTGTGCAAAGCTGAACCTGTTTGTGAGCATGCTAATTCTGTGGTTGATAATTCTATTCAATGGCATAAACGGTTGGGTCACATGAGTAATAAAGGACTTGAAATATTGCATAAAAATGGACACTTGGGTAGTGATAAGCTTATGCATGTTCCCTTTTGTGAATCTTGTGTGCTTGGAAAACAAACCCGCGTTAGTTTTCCTAACCCGAATCCTGTTACTCGAACTAAGTGTTCTGATGTGCTTGAATATCTGCATGCCGATGTGTGGGGTCCCGCAAGTGTTTCCACTCACGGAGGGAACCAATATTTTCTTTCCATAATTGATGATTATTCTAGGAAAGTTTGGGTCTTACTTTTGAAACAAAAATCTGAAGTTTTTGATAAATTTAAAAACTGGAAATTTTTGATTGAGAACCAAACTGGGAAGAAAATAAAAGCACTTAGGACAGATAATGGCCTTGAATTTTGCGACAAACAACTTGATAATTTGTGTGTTACTTGGGGTATTAAAAGACACAAAACTGTTCCTTACACGCCTCAACAAAATGGGGTTGCTGAGAGGATGAACAGAACTCTTTTAGAGAGGGTGAGGGCTATGTTAGCTACTTCTGGACTTTCTAAAAGATTTTGGGGTGAAGCTGTTTGCACTGCTGCTTATTTGATCAATAGGTCTCCATCTATACCTTTAGGAGGGAATTGCCCAGAAGTTGCTTTCTCGGGTAAACCCCTAGATTTATCAAACCTGCGTGTGTTTGGTTGTGCTGGTTATGTGCATCAAATGAATGATAAACTCGAACCAAGATCTAAACTATGTGTTTTCTTGGGGTATCCTGACGGGGTAAAGGGTTATAGGTTGTGGGTAAAAGGCGAACCAGGTTTCAAAATTGTGATAAGTAGAAATGTTGTTTTCAATGAAAATAATTTTCCTTGTTTGTCCTTGCCTATTCCCAATGTTGAAAATGTGGCTCCAAATGAGGTGGAGCAATTGCCTGTTATCATTCCTACTGATGTGCATGTAGAAACTAATGAACATGTTGATTCACACACTAATGAAGATGAGACTATTTCTAATGAAGTGGAGCATGATAGTGTAGAATCACATGTTGAAAATGATTTGCATGACTATCAACTTGCTAGGGATAGAAATAGAAGAACCATTAGCAAACATGCGAGATATGTTGATGACTGTAATATGTCTGAGTTTGCTTTTCATGTGTTTGAATCCCTTGAGTGTGATGAACCCAAGACTTATCGTGAAGCATTAGAATCTAAATGTTCTGAAAAATGGGTTAGTGCTATGAAATGTGAGATGGAATCCCTTCGTGTTAACCAAACGTGGAAACTTGTGCCAAAACCTGAAAATTGTTCTCTTGTGGACTGTAAGTGGTTGTTTAAAATTAAGCAAGAACCTGAAAATGTTAGGTTTAAGGCTAGACTTGTGGCTAAGGGATTTACTCAAAAGGAGGGAATAGATTATGTAGAAATTTTTTCTCCTGTTGTCAAGTTCACCACAATTAGAATCATGTTGTCTTTAGTTGTTCAGTATAATTGGGAATTAAAACAAATGGATGTGACTACTGCTTTCTTACATGGTGATCTTGATAAAAATATTTATATGCACCAACCTGAAGGATTTGTTGATCCTAAGTTGCCTAATCATGTGTGTTTGTGAAAAAAGGCTTTGTATGGTTTAAAACAATCACCTAGGCAATGGAACATTAAATTTGATAATTGCATGAAAAACTTTGGTTTTAAGAGAAGTAATGTTGATCACTGCTTGTACTTCAAGAACACTTTCTCTGTTCCTGTTTTTCTTCTCCTTTATGTGGATGATATGTTAATCATTAGTCCTAGCTTAAAGTCTATTGAGCATGTTCAAAATTATCTTTGCAAAAATTTTGACATGAAAGATTTAGGAGATGCTAGAAAAATTCTTGGCATGAATATTGTTAGGGACAGAAAGAAATCTACTCTTGTTTTAAACCAAAATTCCTACATTGATAAGATTTTGAGTAAATTTGCTATGTGTGATGCTAAACCTGTGGATGTTCCTTTAGCTGCTCACTTTGTGTTGAGTAAGGATATGTGCCCTAAAACAAAAGCTGAAATTAATGAAATGAAAAGTGTGCCTTATTCGAATGCTATTGGTTCTGTGATGTATCTTATGATTAGCACTAGGCCTGATATTGCTTATGCTGTTAGTTGTTTGAGTAGATACATGTCTAATCCTGGTATGGCTCATTGGAATGCTCTAAAATGGCTTTTGAGATACTTAAAATCTATTAGGAATGTTGGTTTAACTTTTTCAAAAAGTGATAAAAGTGTTAAATTGATTGGCTATGTGGATTCTAACTATGCAAACGATAGGGATAATAGAAAATCTACTACTTCGTATGTGTTCACTTTGTGTGGTTCTTGCATTAGTTGGAAATCTCAACTTCAACACATTGTTGCTTTATCTACTACTGAGGCTGAGTATGTTGCAGCCACAGATGCTTTTAAAGAAGCCATTTGGCTTAAAGGTCTTTTATCTGAAATATGCTTGCTCGATAAGAATGTGGTTGTTTTTTCTGATAGTCAATCTGCCATACAACTATGCAAAAATCCTGTTTTTCATGATAGAACAAAACATATTGATGTTAGGTTTCATTTTATTAGAGACATAGTTGAAAAGGGCATTGTCATGTTGGAGAAAATTCCTACGGAATCTAATCCAGCTGACATGGGTACTAAGTGTTTACCTGTTGAAAAATTTACCTTATGTCAAAAGATTTTAAACCTATCTCTGTGATTGTGTGCTGATCTTTTGTTCTTTTTTTTTTGGTCTTTGTGACTTTTGCTTTTCTTTTGTTTTTGAACTCGATGACCCAATGGTAGAGTTCGACTCTTCGTGAGTTATTTTTGGCATGCTTTGTGATGTTGCCTAGTCTTCGTGACTTGAGAGTACTTAGTGAACTCTCCACCACTACATGTGTTCTCATTTGTTGATTACACATTTAGTGGTTATTAGGCTATGATGAGTCCCGCGGTTCCTTGTCAAACTATGTGCACTACTTTGGGCCAAAGGTGGAGATTGTTAATTTATTTGGGTTGGCCCAAACATATTAATAATATTTGACACCCAACCCAGCAGCCCATTTACTCAAGCCCAATCTATACTCCTTAACCTAATTAAGCTTGCCTTAATTACCACCCTAATCTCCACTATATATTGAGGGCTTGCCTTTGTGTTTCTACACCGTACAAAACTCCTTTTCTCTCTTTGTGAGACTTCCGTGTGGGTTTCTTTCTTCCTTTGTGAGTTGATCTCAGTTCTTCTCCGTTTCTTTGTGAGTGGAGTGTGGCGAGGTTGGGTTGGGGTGTTGCTCCTTTTGGTACCCTTGTAGTGCACAACTACGGACCGAATTTTACGGGTGACCTGAGCCTAATCGGAATAAATAAATACACATAACAGCTAGATTTCAAACTCTACACTTCATAACAAACTAAATGCTCGCCAAGCCACTTAGGCTGCACAACCTTTTATTTATTATGCTACATACTGTATTACTTTTATAAAGTTTAATGGTGTCACTTTTATAAACCAATATGAAGGTCCGCTCCTGAACTAGAGTGACTCCGGCTCCATTCGGACTAGTGTGGGTCTGCTCTGCCTTTATCTTTGGGAAGTTCACAGAAGAAGCACCAATTCTTCCAGTTTCTTCCAACATCCGGATTTTTTTCCAGTTTTAAAGAACATGCACTTAATGTTGTTTCTTTTTAAAAAGAAAGAGATAAAAACCCTTGGCTAGGTTTCAAACTCTACACTTCATAACAAACTAAATGCTCGCCAAGCCACTTAGGCTGCGCAACCTTTTCTTTATTATGCTACATACTGTATTACTCCATACTTTTATAAAGTTTAATGGTGTCACTTTATTTTATAAACCAATATGAAGGTCCGCTCCTGAACTGGAGTGACTCCGGCTGACTCCATTCGGACTAGTGTGGGTCTACCCTGCCTTTATCTTTGGGAAGTTCACAGAGGAAGTTAGGGGTGAGCGTGGTACGGTATGGTACAGTACCAAGTATTCCGGTTCGGTGGGGGATTTTACGCTATACCGATACCGATGCTGAAGCATCGGTTCGAGATGGTTCGATATCGGTTTCGGTACAAATCGGGATGAATATTTATGTACCTAGTTTGCATCAAAACAGAGTATATATTAGTTATAGTGTATACTACATTCAAACTCGAGCTCTATTCGAGCATCGAATTTCATATGTATGTTATATAAAGGGTTGATATATACTCCAGGTATTCTATAAGCATGATGCACTTCTGTACCTTTGGTATAGTACACTACACACATTTTTGCGATGATAGAAAAAGTTTGATAATCTATAGTACTAAAAAATGTTAGTATTTTTATTTTTTAAAAAAATTTGTACTTATTTGATTTACTTATGGACTGGAACAAGAATCACATTGAGACTCGATCAGTGAATCACCGTAGAGCCTCAGTGTAAAAAAATTGTAGGTTTTATTAGAATATCATGGTGATTTTTTTAATTAAATTTGCACTCAATAACACTAAAACATATGTCATTTCCTAATGTACCACTTAAACTTTTTAATTCTCTAACTAGTACTTGAATAATGTCTAGTAGCGGGAACAAAGTCTAGTGATGGTAGACATTTAATTTGAATAATGTCTAGTGGTGATTGACATTTACTTGAACAATAACCAGTGGACATTGAACATTGGTACTAAATTGGAAAATAAAAATAGAGTAAATTTCATAAAAGGTCCCTAGTTATAGGTCATTTTACATATTTAGTCCCTACATATCAAATATTACTAATTTAGTCCCCAATTATTATATTCATTTCCACGAATGGTCCTTTGTTAACATTTTCGTTAAGAACATTGATAAAATTGTAAATTCACACTCTTTGCTCTCCTCAATTAAGCTTCCTCCCTCCCCTTGCACTCTTTTTCCAAACCCGTCGCTGAATTTGAAGCTTTGAACCCAAAATCGAAATCATCACTCTTCTCTCAATTGTTTTTCTAACCGGTGGAACCCAAATTCGAAATCAGTAACCTTCATGGATGAGTTTTAATGTTTATTTTCATTGCAATTTCTTAAGACCAACCGATAAAACTCATCCATAAAGCTTATTGGTTTTGATTTTAGATTCCACTAGGAAGACTAATAATTGAGAGAATTGAGGAATGGTCATTTCAGTTTTGGGTTTAGAACTTCAAACTCAGCGACGAGTTTGAGAAAGAGTACGAGAGGAGGGAGGAAGCTTAATTGAAGAGACAGAGAAGTATGAATATACGTTTGTTACAATTCTTGTACGGATTACAACGGACGGGGAAGATGAACGGCCCTGTAAAATAAAAATAAATAAAATTCTGAATTTATAATTTATTCAGAATATTACAAAATAAACAAAGTTGAAAATAAATTGCTATATCTTCAAACGGCCTTGTTGTACGAGGACATTAAGGACTGGACAGTGAGGACGTTAAGCACTGGACAGCGAGGTCTTTAAGCACTGGACAACGAGGACTTTAAGCACTGGACAGCGAGGTCTTTAAGCACTGGACAGCGATTCAAGGGCGTTATGCACAGGGTTGCGAGGACATTATGCACTGGGCTGCGAGGACGTTATGCACTAGGCCAGAATGCAGCGAGGTCTTTATGAACTGAACCTGCAAAAATCACAACACCGTGGAAGGACAGCGGAGTCGCCGGAGCTGTCCTTAAGGTAGTAGTGCCCGCCTACCGTACCGGAAAACGTGGGCACTCTCCTCCCAAGATAAAACCGCTATCGTGTGTGGAGATTGTACGGACCAACCACACACCAACGAACAAGAACAACGTAGGAACGTTGACGACCGGAAAAAATGAAGGTAATCGCCGGAAAAATTGGCAAGAAAACCAAGAGCTCCCCTCAAAGTTAAACAAAGACAAAAGTGTTAACTTTTTCCTTCTCCTCTTTTTTTTCCCACGTATGGATGCTCTAAAAAAAATGAGAAGAGTCCCTCCATTTAAATAGGCATTTTCATGGCTCTTCATTTTGTAACTTATATGCCATGAAGGCACATTCAATAGCCATGACTCACCATGTAACACCCCACCCTGGATGACCCGAGTCATCCAGACCAGAGTGCTAGTAAAACCGGGTTACTTTGTAAAATATTTTTTTTCCCCAAAATATATACTCTTTTTGATAACTAAAGAGAATTTAAAAAAATGTTTACCGCGTAAACTTAAAGTAAAACATCCACAGTTAATACAACCTTGGGTTCAAGCCCAAAAACAAAGTAAAATTAAGTTCGATGTTTTATTCATTATTAAATACTAAAAAAAACTCCTTCGGCACAGCCCCTATGTCCATGCTTCCCTCCTCAGCAGTCGTTTTTCTTGCTAGTATCTGCGTGCAGTTAAACACTACGCGCTCAGCATGAGCTGAGTGGCAACTAACCAGTAGACATATATAACATGTAAACATATTTTAGGCCTTTTAAGCTATTCAATTTATTTCAAAAATAACTTTTCGCATAATTAAAAATCATCGATGTAAATAATTTCACTTTGAATAATTACTTGGGGACATTTAGAAAACTTTTGACTTACTAGGTTAACCACAGATTAGGAACTAAGCCGTGACTAGGCTGGAACACCGCACTAGTCGATTCGTAGTTTTACTTCGGATACCTCCCCGTGACCTCGGGTCCAGTAATCAGAAGTGAACCCTAGACCCACGGGGTCATCGTTGGGTTCTCGTGCGCACGTTGTGGTATGATTATTTATAGGCTCATCCACATGGACACGGTCCGGCCTTGAAAGTGGTTTGACCCACTTGATAAAAACGTGACAGTACTTGGTCAGAGTACGTCGATATATAAATGTTGAAACTTTTACTTCGTCCACTAAATGTTTGGTTAACCCTAGTACGGTCATTTAAATAAAACACTTTTTAATGTTTTTAAACATAAACCATTTTGAAATCATTTAATGGTTCACGTCCCCTGTTGAATCAAAATACTTTATTTCGTAGATTTCTTCTTACAAAGTAACATGTGTATACATTTTATCTACTTATTTCATTTTCGGTCATTTCACTGTGTTAAATGAACTTTAATTAATTATTTAACTTCTTATGTCTTGGATTAGGTTTTTCTTTACTGACAAAGTATACATTATTGCTTAGATAGGAAAAATAAACCTTGTAACAATATCTCGAGTACAACAAATATATAAAACATGTTACCGTAGGTATGTAAAACAAATATTCGGTACTCCGTGGTTTATTGTTTTCGCTATTGTCAACAATGCCATTTAGATATTCTCTTTTTTTAGTGTATATAGTTAATTATTATTATTAGTAACATACGTATGGTTCAATTAGCTTTCAAAATTACTCCGTGGTTTATTCTTGATTTGGAAAAAAAACCATAAGAAAGAAAATAAACATTATTTTTTTTAACAATACCGATTGTGTTTTTTTTCCTAAGTGCACAAGTTTTTTTTCCTCTCTGGTTCGGTCAGCCATAGGAAGAAAAACATCACTGGAAAACTTTATCATATGTTTAATTTTTTTTTTACCGTACATATGTTTGTTTAATTTTTCTTTTTAAAAAAACATATTTTACATATATGCAGATAAACGCAACAACAAAAGAAAAACTAGAACCTAAGAGAATATTCATATAAAACTTGTATGTAAGTTTATACGTATGAATGCAAGGATTTAGATTTAAAACAATATGCACAAAATATATGAACATGATATATATATCTAAAGGTTAGGGTCAACGACACACCTTTGATATTAGTTAGACGAAATAATAGATTGATGAATGACGACATTGCAAGATGATCGATCTCGTGACAGCATCGATCCCCCACGTCTCTCTCTCTCAACAAAGCCACAAACCGTTCTTAATCACTACTCTCTAAATCTATACATCCTTTTCTTCGATCTCTTGATGTGGTCATGAGTTTCTCTTATAATGAGAGTCTATTTATAGTGAGAAAGGAAAATTCTAGAAAGTGAAGGGGAAAGTGAAGAGAAAACATATTTACATTAATTAAATAAAATATTAAAGTATAATTAAAATAAAAATGACCATATTCATTACCTCCATTATGAGGTTAATGAATGGGAAGGGAGTCAAATTTTTCCCTTGTGTTAGGCGTGATGTTTTAAAAAGGAAAACCAATGGTTTTCTTGGTCCGTTTGTTTAATTACATGTCCGACTTCCATAGTTTCGATTATTAAATATTTTTGGAAAAATATAAAACTTATACCTTTGAGTTCCATATTTTTCACACATCATTTTAACATAATTTGTTTGTCAAGAAAAATAGGTTCACTTGAACAAATTATATTTTTCAGATAGTAGAGAACCAAAACTAATTTTATTGCTTTTACTCATCCCCTCTAACAATTTAATCATTAAAGCTTGTATTCTAATTTTTTTTCAATATTTTCAAATAAAGAATAGTGACATATTTTTAAGGAACGTTTTTTTTTCATACTTAAATTTCAAACATTTTTTTTAAAATTTTTTTTAAAATTTTTATTTTGTAGTAAAAAGTTAAAAAAAATTCTAGACTGGTTTTCAGGACGTTACACACCATCATTAGTAATATTTTTAATGGTGTGTTAATACCACCATTAACATGGGGGTTACACCCATAATGTTTAAAATTCTTCCTCTTTAATTGGAGATTAATGGCCAGTTAACTCCGTAAAAGTGGAATAATTTTAAACATTACGTAACGGGTTAACTCTGAGAATCAATTTCTCATTCACCCTTCTACCATTTTTGGCGTATAATATATCAAAATATTTATCTCATTTAAGAGAACACACGTCCTTTAATTAACGGTTAAAACCGTTAGTGGACCTATTGATAATTATACCCAAGTTGGTCCATTTAATGCCTATTAAAATGCCAAAAATTCCAACAACGTTCTTATCAAAAACGTTAATAAAGGACCATTTGTGAAAAATGATATAATAATTGGGGACTAAATTAGTAATATTTGATATGTAGGGACTAAATATGTAAAATGACCTATAACTGGGGACCTTTTATAAAATTTACTCATAAAAATATATGATACTATATTGAGAAAATCATTATGTTTTTAGTATTATTTCGATAAATTCCCCATTTTTTACACATTTCTTAATTTTTTCAATACATTGTGATTATTTATAGTATATCACTATATATCTTGAATCTAATGCAACGTATTGGTCCCCTTTTATCATTTGATGTCTTGTTTTTATTTCATCCAAAATTTAGATTTTTTGTGGGTTATTAATTCCAAAATTTATGTACATAAATGTCTAAATTAAATTGAGCAACACCTAATCAATGATGAAATCAAAATATGACCCCAAAATTTGACACTTGTACATATTTTGTCGGATTATGCTATGTGTACCCCAAGGTTTGTACCCCACAGTTTTGCACCAACATTTTGTGTTAGTGTAAAACTAATTTTTGTTAAACGCACCAACATTTGTGTCCGTGTGAATTTTTTTTAATGCACCAACACTTGTGTCGGTGTAAATCATCGAAATGTTTGTGCAAACCTGTGGTGTACAAATGGGGTATATTTTTTGGTGTAAGTGTAGCATGGTCCTATTTTGTCAATCAAGTATCCATTGCTCACAACAAATGGACCCTCACAAACTCACAAAACATGGCAAAATCCAAATGAATCTAGTTTTAAAATTAAAAGAGAACGAGTGCACATTCAACGTATACATTTTTTGAACATAAATGCACCTCTAGATTTTTCAACACACCTCCCAAAAAAAGTTTCACATTTTCTTTAGTTTATTTTAAAAACAAATTTTTACTTCATTTTTATTATAAAAAATTGTCTTTTATTTTAATAAAAAAAAAATGTCTTTTTCACACATACCGATATTTTTCGCCACTTTATACAGAACATTAATCGTACAATTTCATTTTTTAATGAGTATATTCTGTTATTTATTGACTGAAATGTGAAACATTATTTTGAAACAGATGGACCACCAGAGCATGAATGAATGGTTAAAGGTGAGGAAATGATTAATTAGGTTGAGCATGATTGGTTTTGTCCCCAACTCATAATTAGCAAGTTTGTTGAATGGCCTTCTTTCATCATTTTTTTAGACATGATGGGTCAAGCACATTAGAGAATGAATTGAAAAAAGTATGGCCATCTTTGCCAATCTTGCTTTATTTATACATTTATATTAGCCGTTAGCTTTGTTGAAGGACATTATTGTAGAGAAAGGTATATATAGTCAGATACTCCCTCCGTCCTATAATGATCTTCCCGGTTCATTTTATGAAGTTTGACCGACTTTATTTTCAATTCAATTTATTTGATTGTAGGTGTAAAATTAAAAAATAAAAATTATATATTTAAAAACTACATCAAAAGTTCTACAAAACAAGTGATGACAAGACTATATTATTTTATCAAATACCTAATGAAAATAGGTAAAGAAAGTGATTAAAGTTTGACCGTGTAAAAAGTGTGTGGGAAGAACATTATAGGACGGAGGGAGTACAATATATATACACCCTACCTCTTCTAAAGATATTATCACTTTAATTTTAATTTAGGAAACTTAAAAAATTTTGAAAAATAAAAAAGGAAAAAAGACTAAAGTAGGAGTAAGCCATTGAAAATATATCAAAATATGAATTTCATGTTTTTATTCTCGAAAAAGAGTTAAAGTACATATACAATCTCAATCATAATTATATACACTGTCAAAGAGTATTGTGAAATGTCCATATACAATGTCACACTACTGCAGTACAAGCTCTTATTTTGAAGATAAAAATATGAAGCTCTTATTTTGGTACTTTCTATTGTTTACTCATATTTAGAATGATTTCTTAAATAAAAATTACGAGACTTGATTTTATAGACATCCAATAAATATGGTCTAATAGGCATTCTTAAACCAACTGCGTTAGGGGTACACCAAAAAATGTATTCCAAAGTCCAAAGTGTACACTAAAGGCATGCATCATCATTTTGATGATTTACACTGGCAGAATATGTTAGTTTGATAAAAAAATTATACTAACATTTTGCGAATGTATGAATTATCGCACTAGTATCACACTAGCATAAATGAATATGCGCACATGTGTTGTATAATTTGAACTACAAATTTTGGTATATTTAAATCTTCTTAGATATGATGCATTTTCATTCCCTCACGTCATTAGAATGTAATCTAGGGGACTTCAGCTTATTAGTCTTCCCACGAGTCATTGTAGGTAGATCCTTGTCATATTGCACTTCGAGTTTTTTTTTACTCCCTCCCTTCCAAATGGTGGGCAACACTTGAAAAGACATGCAAAATAGTACTCCGTATCACATTTAAAATTATTATAATTACAAATTCGTAGAGAAATAAAAGGTACTACCTTCGTCCCACTGTCTTTGTCCACTTTTGACTTTTGGAACTGTTCATCTAAGCACTTTGACTCATCAAATTCTCTCAATGTGTAAGCCTAAAAATAATCATGTGTGATCTTGTTTGATTCGTCTTAACATATATATTATTAATATATAATTTTTATAATTTTTTAATATACAAATTACAAGATAAAATGGATTAAAGAAGTGCATTGGATGGTGTGCCAACAGGTAAGTGGACAAAGACAGTGGGACGGAGGGAGTAAAAATTACACTGTTCAAAAGTACATCAACAATTTTACCAAATAATATGTTATAAGAATATTTTGTTTTATCAAATGATCAACCATAATGAATGAACAAACAAAAGTTATCGAGATGCGGAAATAGTTACTGTGACATTCTTTATGGGACGGATGAAGTAAAAAACTCTTTTGGCCAGTACTTTTTTGGCCAGTACCTTTTTTTTCTTTTACAAACAAATTGTTTTAAATTCTTAACAGTGCTAGTCCTGAATATTTCACGACCTGGGCCCGGAAGGGGAAAAAAGGCCCTAAAGGCTTTATCACTAATGGCCTAACAAATTAAAGCGCGAAAACTAATTATAATTAAATAAAAAGTAACATAATAGTATTATAACAAAATGAGTAAATGAAACAAAAATCATAGTAAATAATACTTACCTCTCCAAACAAATGTTCTGGAAATTAGACTAAAGATCGACCCAGACTAACTAGTGGATAAGGGGTTAACTGGTCGAACCGGAGGTAAAGCACCCAGTCAACTATAATTAAAATAATAACCTTTTATATTATATATGATTAGATATGCTTAATTAATAAGGAATTTTTATTTGTATTTTTTCACTCTTCCATCAGCTTCAATATCATTTTGCATCTGCCTTCACACTTTCAATATTCTATTTGTATTATTTTTTATTACTATCAAAGATAAATAATGAATATCTAATAAATACGAAGTACTAAAATAGTACTACCTCCGTCCCAAAAAGATTTACACGTTTTGACTAAAGTTGAAATTAAGGGAGGGATAATTTTGTGTTGACTTTCCAAAAATACCCTTGATGTGATGGGTAAAAGTAGGATGTGATGTGTAGATTATTAGGAAAAAAGTATGATCTGATAGGTAGGGTTTGAAAAAGTAAGGGGCAAAAGTGGTTTTTTAATAGAAATGGATAGGAGATTGTGGGACGCAATTTTTTTGAAAGGTGTAAATCTTTTTGGGACGGAGGGAGTAATACAATAGTCATATTTTAAAAAAATAAATTAAAAGCTAGATAATGTCTTCTTATATGATATTCTGTAATCTGTATGTAATACTTCAAACTTATATGTAGTTTATTGAAATGAGAACAAGTAGAGGAAAAATTAATTCTGATATACTAAAGTATAATTAATAAATATTTCTTAATTTTTATTGATGACAATAATTTTTTGAGTTTTGTTTTTGAAAAAAAATTCT